TGATCGTGTCAGTCTGTCACTCCCAGAGATGCTGTAGTCATTGCCTCCCCTTTTGCAATAGGATTTGCTGTCAATCATTTGCTATGGAGGGCTGGGCTCTGCTCCGGAGAATGTCATCACTATAAAATGACTAAGGGGATGTGGTTGGAGGTAAATCATGCTTGTATGTGGAACCAAGATGGAGACTCCTTAGAGAGAAGCAGCTGTGCCCAGAGACCCCAAATCAGACAGCTGATGATGCTCAGAGCTCTGGACTGTGAATGAGAAAAGCATTTGGACCACACTTTAGTCCAATTCGGTTGCCAATACAGGATATGTTGCATTTTGGGCTTTCTAGATTGTGTGCCTAAATCCTCAAGGAATCACAGGCACCTCTAAGGAGACTGATGTCTTAGAGGAAAACTAAATCCTGGCTTTGAAATATAAATAGTGTCTCCCAAGACTGCCTGCAGAGACTCCCCATCAGGATCATTCTAATTGCTCGGTGGGGTGACTATTGCTCTTCTCCAGAGCTTTAGTAGATATAATTTTCTGGCATCAAATAAAGGGAATTGGAGCTTTAAGAACACAACATTACTGTTGTCTGCGGGTCAGATACAAACCTCTCCTCCCAAATCCCAGCCAAGGCATTATGTGTGATGTGTAGTGACAAGTGCCCCTTCATGAGAAAACCACTCACCCATAAAGAGTTTTCCAGACAACACCCATTGCTAGCTGGGGATACATGGGGGCTTTATTTGATCTGGGTTGATTTCTTTGTTTGTCTTGCTTCTAGAACAGCATACCTTGGATTTAATGTCTCGAATACTGAATCCAATACTTCTAGGTTCACTGACTTGTTATTATTTAGCATTTATGAAATATATGTCAATGCACTTGGCACTTTACAATGACTCATAAAAAGGCAGGATCCTGGCCATTGAGCAGACACTTGCTACTGGTTGAATTCTGCCTACATGGAAATGATCACAGGACAGATCTGGATATCCTTCACCCCAAAACAACTGTCCTCACTGCATCTGAGTCCAAACAGAATTGTGGTTGCTGCTACCATTTTGACGATCAGTGTCCTAATACAATAGGCTCAGCATGTAGTTCCTGGTACTTAGGAAAGCTTAGCAAGCACAGATGGATGGACTGATGGACGGACGGATGGATGGATGGGTGGATGGATGGATGGATGGAGAGCTCTATAACTTAGTGGACATCTGTCATTTCCTATTTGTCCCTCCACCTATGGCTTTATTTATGTGTCTTACAAACCTGTGGTTATAGCTGGCTGACTTGGAAGGGAACTGTTACTTAAATGGCTTTTTTCAATGAAGATGAGATCAATATATCTATGAGGTGGACAGAAACATAATGAGAAACTGGTAATGCAAAACTATATGAACTTGTTGACAATATGATATCGATGTCAATTTCTTTGTTTTAATTAAATAAGATGTTACCATTGAAGAAAGCAAGGTGAACGGTATAGGAGGGGAATCCCTGTACTATTTTTACAACTTCCTGTGAGTCTATAATTACTTCAGAAGCGAACCACGTGGACTTCAGCCTTCACATCTTTGTAGTCACCTCACTGCCTACATCTTCCAGTCACTGGGCCCTCTACTAATAAAAGCACAACCAAGTGTGTCCTTGCAGGACTCCCAAAAAGCAGAAGCCTAAAAAGAATTAGACATGCAAGAGATTTATGGGGGAAATGCCTGGGTAGCATAGAGCGAGAGGGAGGCAGGCAGAGAGTCTTGGGCAGTGCTAGGAAGTCCTGACACCTGTGAAGGGACAGAAGGAAGGAAGCTTTGGGTGGGAAGAGTCGGACTGCATGAGGTCAGAGGAAACTCCCAGCTGAGCCAGTGAGGAGTCCCTGAACATGCTTTGCCAGTTAGAGGGGTCCCAGCGGAGCAGGAGGGCCCAGCGTTAGCATCCTTACCGAGTCCAGTTGTCATCGGAGCTGCCTGGGAGCAGCCTGTCCTGGAACAAATACTGGGTGAGCCCAGCGGTGCAAGCACCCCTGGAGGGGGCCCACCAGTCCTGCCTCCATAGCAGCTTATCTCAGGGGAACGTGAGCAGGATGCCTTCAAGGCCACTATACCAAGCTGTTCTCTCCGTCATCTTGCCTTCCTGTCCAGCTCTTTGGTGACCTTGATACCTTATCCCTCTGTTGGACTCATATTCTAACTACCAAGCCAGAGTGACTGCCACCTGCTGCTTCTTCTATGGATCTGTCCCTATCTGTCCCCTGCCTATCCTGTATACCATAAAAAGTCATAGACCTAAGTCAGTCCACCCACCAGATGTGTGTGTCATCCACTGTCAGGTGGCCCTCCCCACCCATCAGTATCTCTCACTTTCCTTCTGCTGATTCAGTGTCGCATTTCTCCACGCATTTATTGAAACCCTGCTCTGCCTTCATCAAGTGCCTCTACACTGCCCCCACCCAGCGTTTCTGGACGGACTTCCCACGCAAGCTCCCTAAGCACCCCTTCTCCCTGCTCCACACTCTTCGTCTTCTCCCACTTTCCTTGAGTGTTGGAGAAAGAAAGGTCCTTCCCCTCTGCGGTGTCCCCTCTCTTTTTGGGCTCTCCCTTGCCTCCTGCCTGCCTACGTTGGTTACATCAGTCACCCCCGCCGTCGCATACTCTCTGCCCCACTGGATTCTTCCCCTTGTCTGTGAACGCTGGCTTCTTTATCCCAATGGAACTTTCCTCCCGATCCTTCTACCCGTCTGAGCTATCCTCAGGGACGTCTCCTTCCTTCTCCAGACCTCTGGGGAGACGTGTCCCCTTGCTGCGCCCTCCCCGTCCTCCCCAGGCGCCGGCGCCTCCTCCCCACTCAGACGAAGCTGCCCCTTCCCAGGCCCGCGCCGCCGAGCCCCGCGCCTCCCCTCGGGCCCCACCTCCCGTAGCTTTCGGGCTCAGCTGCCCCCCCCCCCACTCTCCAGACCGCCTCCCCTCTGGCCTCAAGGCCGTGTCGCTCTCCCCTCTCTTCCTACCTTTTCATCCTTATCTCTTCTGGCCTCTCTTCTTACTGCCTCTAGACGTAAATGTTCCCTCAGGATTCGGCCTTCACACCTCTGGATTTGACTTTACATTCTCCTCCATTTTCGGGACTTCCTCTCTCCATGCTCTGCAGAAACTCTAGACTCCAGCTCCAATTCCTCTCTCAGAGGTTTTGCCAGAGCTTCAAGTTCTGCGCCGGCGACGTCCCTCCCGTAAGCTCTTCTCTCCAAGCTCTTGTTTCTGCGTCTTTCCTGTTTGTCTTCCTGAGACCCCAGGCTGCCAGTCACTCGGGCTGAAGTCCTGTAGTCACCTTGGCCCTCCGTATCTGTTGCTCTTCCCTCCCCCGTGGGGTCTCCCCGGCCCTTCTGTGCCCACAGTCACTGCCCCGGCTCCAGCCCTTGCTCCCTGTCTCGCGGGTTCCTATAGACACCTCTCAGTTGGTGTTTCCACCTTGGGTCTTTCCTCCTTCAAGGCCATCGGAGTCACTGATGGCAGTTTTATTTTCCTATAAGCATAGCTTTCACTAGATCCCTTTTGTGCTGTTAAAACCTTTGATGGCTCTACATTTAACTCAACTCTTTCCTGCCTAGTAGCTAAAAATAATCTCCTCCCAACTAAACTGCTATGATATTTTTTTCTAAGTGCCTTTCTTTTAGGATTTATTATTAACTGATTATTACCAAAAGGCTAATTCTCCCAGTTCCCTCCCCCATCACTCACTGAGTGCCCCCGAAAAGAAATAAATGTGTGTGTGAATGTGTGAATGTGTTTTATTCTTGTTCCCAACCTCTTCCTTATATGTTTTCACCGGGAGTGACCAGCTCTCAGGGGGAATGGGCAGGTAAAGCATTCTGTTGGGTTCTTTTCTTAAATAGGGGTCATGGTGTGGGGACTAAGAGCAAGGTTCTGGGAGAGTTCCACCCACATTCAAAATCCTGTAACCTTGGACATATAGTCTACCTCTCTGAGCCTTGGTCTCTTCATCTATAAAATAGGCTAATAAGTGTATAGATGCCATAGGATTATTTTGATGAATAATTAAGTGATGCACATAGGCTGAGAACCATGCTGGGCACCTAACAGAGGTCGGCGTTCGCCACTGTTATTGTCATTCCCACTGTTGTTTTATCATGCTTGCGGCATGACATTATCCACAGCTTAATTATTCACTGTTTGGCACGAGAGACTAGCTTGGGAATTATACACAACTGGTGAATTAATATCCTGAGTACTTCCACTAAGACATCAGGCTAATAATTTTTGGTACTTTAGATAACCCATGATGGGTCCCAGAGGATCCTGCAACCAAGAGTCTACATTTTTTCTTAGTAAGAATGGACATGTTTTTGAGTTTAAGTCTCCATAGTTTAATGTAGCAGCTTCCACTACGGGACATTTGTAAATTAAGCTAAGGAAGGAAAGAAAATCCCATTGACACAGAAATCTCTCCCCCCTACCCCACTCCCCACACATGAGATCATACATGTGACTCAGATTGTAAATGAAAGCAAAGACCTGGCAAAGATGACCAAAGACAGAATGCAGGAAGAAGGAGGGGCTACATTAGAGGAAGTTTTTAAAAAGCAATTTGAAATATAGAGGCTGATTCTAACAAATAAAGACATTAAAAAGAGGATTAAAATTGGATGGCTGAATGGCTACCCAACATTGCCAATATAATTAATGCCACTAAACTGCACATGTAAAAATGGTAAAATGGTAAATTTTATGTTGTTTTTTCACACAGTAAAAAGCAATAAATACACACACTAAAACTATGTAGCAGTTTATAATAATATTTTTCTTACAGAAATGTTTTTATATGCCAGATCTGCTTATGTCAGGTTAGTGTTCACTGAGCACCTACTATGTACAAACCCCATGCTTGGGACATTGTATCATGATATGTAGCTGTATTTCTTTAATGTGTTACTACTCAAGTATTCATTATTACTGATGAAAGGATCATATCATACATGAAACGGTAAATGGCTGTGGGAAAACTACACTTGTCTTAATTTAAAGAAAAAAAAACTAAGGACTTGGCTTCAAAAGCATTTGAAAAGCACTTCTGCTATAAACATGGACAGCTGAAGTATGAGCCAACTAGCTCCTGTAATATCAGTATTATACTTAAAAGAACAAATATGTTGTTTTTTCCCATCTTACTTTGCATGAATCAGTCTAATGGCAATCACTGAAGAAGGTCACAGATTAACAACAGTCACTTGTAACTGGCAGCAGAAACCTGGCTCCTGTAAGTGGCATCAAGCTTTCCCACTGAGAGGCTGTCCCTACAGTTTGTTTTTGGACTTCTCCACATATGGACAGTGACTCTGGCTGATAAATGATCGACTTAGAGTCTGTTCCTAACTGGCTTTCCACGTGGAAGACACAAAGAGTAAGAACAAAAATAGTGATGTAATAGAACAGACAGCTTCTTATAGTGGGAAGCAGAATTAAGCAGATTTATGAAGGAAGGTAGATTATAATTTGGTGAAACTCCATGTGGGTAGCAGCACTAAATAGTTTCAGTAGACACAATTGTTTGTTTTCATTGTAAAGTGTAATACACATTTGGAAAAGCACATATATACGGTTTCAAGTATAATCATAAAGGAAACAAGTATGTAATCACCTCCTAGATCAAAGCAGGGAACATTGCCAGCCCCTCAGAAGCCCCAGCCCCTGACTGTGAGTTCCTTTTTAATTGTAACCTCCTTTTCCAATACAGGTAACCATTTTCCTAGGTTTTATAGTAATCATTTCCTTGCTTTTCTTGAGGTTCTTATGTATCTGTCTTGCTTCTTTTGGTCAATATAATGATTAAGATTCATCCACAAAATGCATTCATGTTCATTGCAGTGTACTATTCCATTGCACAAATAGAATGCAAAGTATTCCTGTCGATGGATACATGGTTGCTGCGGTGAACATTCTGATCAGGCATCCTGGGCGTGTGCTCACAGGTTTCTCTCAGGTGAGGGCTCATCATCACCCAGGGAGTCCACAGAGGGTGCAGTCCCACCTCAGAGTGTCAGTTCAGTAGAGCTGGAGTAGGATCTGAGAGTTCACACTTCCAGAAAGTTCCCAGGAAGCAGATGCTGCCAGGAGCAGGGACCACACTTTGAGAGCCACTGCTTTAAGTTATAGAAAGGGATTTGTCAGGTCAAAGCACATACAACTTTTCAACTTTATTAACTGATGCAAAACTATTTCCCAAAGTGTCTTTACGTTCCTGCCAGCAGTGTGTGGGTGTCTGATTGTTCTTAGGCCCATGCTAAGAGTTGTAATTGTCATACTTCAATTTTTGCCAAGTCAGTGGGTGTGGAAGTAGTATCTCACTGTAGGTTTAATTTGCATTTTCTTAATTCCAACAAATTTGAGCACTGATTGGCCATTTAGATTTCTCTTTTTGGTGAAGTGCCTATCCAGTCTTTTGCCCATTCTTCTGAGGGTTATCTGTCTTTTTCTTACTGATATGCCAATACTCTCTTCAGAAAAGGCCACCATAAAATTTTCACTAATTAATTTTTTAAAACTTAAAGAAATCTTAGTATAGTTGGACCAAATCTCCCTTTGTAATAGCAAGAATGAGTGCTGAAGAGAAATCTTTAGATAGCCTCTCTTTTGCAAATGGCTTCATGGAACATAAGGATATTTTCTCCAAACAAGTTACTAACTATAAAGGCAAAACTATATACAAGAATATCAGCATTCTTCATACACTGACAGAAAATGTGTCTGAAAGCACAAGGCCATCTTTAAATGGTAATAATGCAACTGAAACAGATCATTCAAGAAAAGGAGACCTATTATTGAGGCCAACATGTCCATCAACAGTTGTTAGCTTGTCGCTGAAGAACAGAATTCTGAGTAGCAGAAGCTTCAAGTGAATGAAATTGTATCCAATTCTCAATCTAATGAAAATGCTTTGGGCTCTGAGCCAGAGAGTAGATTTGGACCATGGATGGGAATTTTTTCAGGGCCTGAAATTTAAATGACTTAAATTATTTTTAAAGTATCATCCTACTCAGTCTTTTGGAATAAAAACATGGTTTTCAATTTTTTTAAAAAAACTTCATCTCAGTATAAGAATAGAAAGCAACATCTTTGCCCTGACATGGTCCAGAAAAGCAGACACTTCCTTCTAGTCCACACAGCAGAGAATAAAGACACCTATCATAACCTCCTTTGGCCCACAACACACACACACACACACACACACACACACACAAGCTTACAAATCTACAGAGTATACATACATATGCATGCACACATTCCCATTAACACATGCACATATATACATAAACATATTAAATACACATATATGCTCACACACACATTTTGTGCTGGAAAATTTGAGGCAAATATGCGTATGTATCAACTTCATATAAAGGATGTATCTTCCATTCTGAAAACACTCAATATTATATCATAAAAATGTCAATAACCCTCAGTTTGTCAACAGTCAAGAACTAAGGAACTCTTTTAGGGCTACTAGTTTGTATAAAATGTAATTATTTGGGAATTAACTGAAGGCAGTTGCAAGTTTTAAGAATAGAAAAGTATACTTCAAATTGTTGCTTATTTTAAGAATGTCATCCCCTAAAGAATATGTAGATTTGCGTTAGGATACAAACACTTAAAAGGAAAACGTGTTGCTATGGCTCACTCATGTGCTCTCTCTCTCTCTCTCTTTTTCTTCCTCTCACTCTCTTAAATAAGGTGGAATTAACAGTAAGTAAAGATTAACTGAGAGATCTGTATAGCTGGAAAAGATCCCCAAAGCCCATACTCCGTAAGAGGCATAATCAAACTACTACCTAAAGCCTGCCCTCCCACCCCCAGCACCTCAGGGCTCAATGGGTGGCAGTGGCCCAGCTGGCTACTTAGGGACCCAGTCAGCCCAAAATCTGCATTCCCAGTCCATTTACCTCTAGACTTCCTGTCCTGAGCCCTGTGCTCACAGCCCCAAATATAGCTGGAGAAGTCCTGCTAGGGAACACGGACCGTTAAATCTGCGACTTAGGAGCCCTTTGCTGTTCTAGCCTCATTCCTCCAAGCCCCTGGCCATGAGGAGCAAGCCAGACCCGAGTGATCACAAAGGCTTCCAGCAGGGCCTGGCTCTCAGGATGCTTCAGGACCATGGACCAGCCCTCACTTAGAGTGTCTCAACTCTGGGGCTGGGAATCAGAAGACAGGTGCCCACCTGTCGGCCGGTGAACCTCACCTAGCCTTACCAGGACTGTGCCCGGGTAACCTTGGCTGAAGCCTGGGACTGAGGAGTGGAGCTCCTCACTATATTCCAGGAGAAGATGGATGTGTGGCCTCTTGCTGTGACAGTGTCTGCCACCCCACAGCCGCCTGAGGCCCGTAACCCACCGAAGTACATCTGATCACTGTTCAAGGCCAAGGATCCAACCCTCTGGAAGTCCACAGATCTAAAGAGGCAGCGCAAGTGCATCAGCCTTTCCTTCTCCCCTGGGAAGTCCCTTCCTTTTCTTACCCTTTCTCTTCTTCAATTATCAAGACCTCAAAGTAGTTGGGGTATCAGACTACCACTCTTCACAGAGTTGCAGGGACCTGTTTTGGAACACCTAGACCATCACTAGGGACTACAATCTGGTGAGGTTCCAGAAAGTTCTAAAAGCCCATGTAGGAGCCGGCTTTGGACTGTACAACTATACATATTCCATTCCCCTCTATGCTCCTCGGCCCCTGCAGAGGTCTGAATGGGGTCTTCTACTTCTTTCTGGAAAATGTCCTTGGACACAGCCCTCATTGATTTACATCGGCTCATCTCAGATGGCCGTCACATTTGTGACATCTCATGTTTTATTCACATATTTCTCTATTCACCCAACAAATATTGGCTGTCTGCTGTTTGCCTGACACCGTGTTGAGTAGTGGGAATCTGAAGAATAAAACATAGTCCCTTTCATCAGGGAGCTTACAGCTTACAAGAGGAGAAAAATGAGCAAATCAAAAATAAGAGAACGATGTGGTAACTGCTTTTAGCTTTGGGGAAATAGAGCTGGAAGCTTCTCAATCAGGTGTCCTTGCCCACGGGAGTAGAGTTTGACTGCAGGCACTGGCCTGCCTCTGACAGCCATCCTCCCGTCCGTCCTTCACAGGGTGTCTCGGTACAAGGTGCCAAGATACCAAACTTCTCCAGGTCCTGCCAGTGTGGAGCTGGGGTCATGGCGAAGCGGGTGGCTTCGCCTTCTACCTGCAATTGTAGGACCTTCATCCTCACCCAGAATCTCCCCCGGGTGCCTGGAGAGTAACCCAGTGGGGGATGCATGTGCGCTCACACTAGTCCCCTCCACTCTCACTGATTGCTGAGTCCTCTGCCACGTATCGGCCACTGTCATGGCTGCTGTGAGGGTGCACAGCCACTGTCCACGCGAAAGCACTGCCTCTTGTCATTCCCAAATCTGGTGGCACTGCTGCCTGCCAGCTTCCCCCTGCAGCCGAAGCTGGGATACCCCGCATCACTGAGCCAGTCGCTGAGGGCGGCCTGCGGGGCCCATACGGCACAAGTGCTCGCGTCTGAGTTAGGTTGACACTTCCCACGGTTCTGCTTCGCCACAGCGCCACCCGCAAGCTGCCGTGCTGCTCGGGGAGAAGCCCTTTCCTTTGCTCCGGCTCTGCGTTCAGTCAGTCGCCTTGGGCTCCATATACCCCGTCCCATCACTCAACGAGGTGCTGTGTGAAACCAGCTCTCAAGCTTCCCACTCCACCGAGACTCAGACCTGTGTCGTGCGCTTTGGCCTAAAAGAAGGAAAAGGGAAGGATCATCTTCACAGGGAAAGGCACCCTGTGCCCCAGACCTGCCCACCCATTTGATCACCCTGTGGTTCTTCTTGAGTCAAGCTGATAGATATGCCTGACCCTCTGCACAGGATGAACACCTCTAGAAGATTCCATCATTGGCCATTCAGAATTACTTCCTGCACATCTTTCCCCAGCTCCCCAGCCATGCCCAGGGTGTGGGAATCCCTGTGGATGCTGCCACTAAATTTTAGAGTTCTGTGGGCAGTGTTTCCTGGCAAAGTCCCAGAGCCCTTTGTCCTCCACTTCTCAATCCAGATACTCTCATGTACTCTCTAAAGAGGTGGCAGGTGAATAAGGAGGAGTCCCAGAACTAGGAGTTTCACACCCTGGAGGACCACCTTTTATTGGACCAGTGGTGCCATTTCCCATTCTTCCCAGGGGCCAACACACCCGATGAAGCCTTCATGAGTGTCCCACGCCAAACAAGGCCTGAGGGCCCACATGCTGCCTTCACAGCCCTTGCTTTAAAGGGAAGGCAGCTCAGCATGCTGTGGTCACCTCCCAGACCTCCTGACCGTCGGTGCATCATTCAAACCTGGTACTTAAACGGGACCTCACATCCAGCTGAGACTGAACGCTTGCAGGACTGCAGCATCCCTGAACTTCCACGCATGTCACTTCAGCAACAACTTTTCTGGCTTTTCTTTTAATTAAATCAAGGTAAGTCAGGTAGTTGCTGAATAGTTGGATTCTGGATGAGTGTGACACTGCGTAAATCCAAATTACGCCTCTGAACAGACTACACCAACAAGCATTGTGTCGGATGCTCAGGTGTGTTCACTGTGATCTTTCTCTGTGCCTATGGAATGAAATCACTGCGGTCAAACCCTGATGAGAGCTAGTCACATTGAGAATTTACCATCTTATGAAAATGTCAATTGCATCTACCGAAAAGAATATTTTAGGCATGTTCAATATAAAATGCAAATATAATAGCTTAGTGGGCTGGTTATGTCAGCTGTGTCTCACTTAAACCTATTACCTTGGCAGATTAAATACAGTTCCAGATCTTTTGCAAGGAATATATTCTAATGAAGTTACATTGTCTATCAGCTTTTGTGGTTCATCAGTTCAATTGCATATGAGTAGAATGAGGACAAATATGGGTGAAGGAAAAGAGTGAGACACAGCCATGGAGAAACAGGAGGATCTCCCCACAGACCTTCCAGTACCCACTGAGAAATAAGTTATTTGCTAAAGGATAAATATGAGCAATTTGTAGAAAAGATTTATATCTTATGTGATGAAATAGGTGAGGGTGCATGAATCCCACCCCACCTGCCTAACCACTTCGACATTTTGATACCTGCTTGTATAAACTCACTCAGCTGGGCAGAGGTGGTGCCAGCTTGACCTAGGATGCCGACTCCCCTTGGTGCTTCTGCAGTCTTTTGGGGCGCCCAGCTCTCGCACCTGGACTCCAGAAGATTCCCCTCTCATTTGACCACGCACTCCACACTCTGACCTCACCTTCCCCTTTAGTTCTTATTGCTCATCATGCCTTGTCTTACAGTAGCCTCATCCTTCTAGATGTAACTTCTTGCTTGATGCCACATAATCCACCCTTCCTTGGCACCAGCCACCTCCTGCAAGAGCTTCCCCAGGACTGCCCTGTCTCACCCCACCCCAACAGAAAGGTTGCTGGCTCCTGGAACAGCCCACTTTAAGCCTCCACTCCATAGGACAGGCTTGATAGAAATTATTCAGCCCCATCCAGTGTGTCTAGCACAGCTCTCTTATCCCATCTTTGCATGATGAGTTATAAGCTTTGGGGTTTATATATCTAGCAGCACTCCCCTGTGGACTTTTCTAAGGGAGCATCTTGGAAATTACTACAGAGAACTGCAGAAATCATTACTCCCTTTTACAAAGAGCATTCTTTCTATGCCTTCTGTGATCCTTTTTGTTTTGTCTTATGTTAGTATTCTATGAATGTATCTGTTCATAGCTCTTTATATTTGTATTAAAAAAAATGAAGAAGTTGTGCTCAATGGTTCCTGCTCTAAAATATTCTACATGGCTAATGCTATTAGCACCAAGTCTTTCTGTCAAAGAAGATAGTAGCCTATAGAGCTATGGTTACCAAACTGTTGGGTAGGGGAAGTAGGGGTAGGAAAAGTTGGTAATTGTGGAAGAAGGTTCTAGAAGGGAAATCTGGGCACACAGGACTTCACTGTGCAGTTGTGAACTGACTTCAGAGAGCTGGATTCTCTTTTGGATCCTGCCCTAACTGGCTGTGTAGTACTGCACTGGTTGATCCTACTCAGCCCATTTCTCCTCTATATAATGAGGAAGTTGACCTAGAGCAGGTTTTCAACTCCAGTCTTGCATGTTTCCATGAAAATGCCTTCCCCAGAAGTCAGAACAAATGGATAGTTGGTAATCTAGAAAATTAAAAAGCAACAATGACCAACTTCCATTTTCACAGCATTTTCTGCTGGACTTCAAACTCAGCACTTTACATATATTATCTCATTTAATTCTCACAGTCATTCCTGGAGGTTCATATCATGGTCCATTTCACAGAAGAGGGGACAGATTTCAGTGCAGTCACCCAAGCTCACTACAACCACAGCAAGAAGCAGTAACAGAGATTCCCATCAGGCTGGGACCAAGTCCAAGCTCACATGTAGTGAGATAGAACAAGAAGTTCCAGAGCCTCCTCTCATTATCCTCATTATATGAAATCTTGCCATGCTTTCCTTCCCTCTATACACAGATTCCTGATTTATCTTCTTTCCTGACTTTTAAAACACATGTGTCTGTGCCTTTGGCTCACGTGGAAGGGTAGCATTGTGTTTTAGAGTTCCGCATCTGTTCTTTGCAGCAAGATGTGAATCAATAAGAAAACAGCAAAAATGAATTCCCTAGCAGATGCTTTCAATATGAAATGTAAGTTAAGATTTGACCCCAAGAGGGGAAGATTTGGCTCAAAAGAATAACTTTTTAAGCCAGCCCTGTACAGTCCTCTTCAAATAGGCAGAGATGCCAAACATGAGGCAATTGTAATTTTGCTGATGCCTCCTTTGAATCACAAACTTTACTGAGGTGGGGGAAGCTGGCACTGGGAGATTTCTCCTCGCTGGTGATGGAGTCCATATAACTGCCCAGCCTTTCCATGTCACAGAGCAAACCAAGTTTGTATCTTTGAAAAAAATGTAGCACCCCACTTCCAACTATCAGACAATGTCTAATGAGTGGCAATTATTACTTATGTGAAGGGTTCCAAGAAAGTGAAGATAATCCTTTGCCAGAAAGTTTTCCACAAATTAAAGAATGGAGTCCAAAGTCAGAATTGTGCCGTGAACAAGGTCATCACCATCTCTATGTGGAAATAAGGAAAACCTCTACTGTTTTCATTAATATCTTCTAGGGGGAAAGTCAATCCTCATTACTCATAGATTCCATATTTGCAAATTCACCTACTCACTAAATTGATTTGTAACCTCCAAATCAGTACTTACGTAGTGCTTTCATGGTCACTCGTCGACATGCAGAGAGAGGCAAAAATTTCAAGTCATCCGATATGCACATTCCCAGCTGAGGTTGAATTAGGCAACACCCTACCTTCTTGTTTCAAGCTTTACACTGTAAACTAGCATTCTTTTCACTGTCTGTTTACTGTCACATTTTTCACATTTTGCGCTTTTGGTTCCATTTAAAATGCTCCCAAGCACAGTGCTGAAGTGCCATCTAGTCTCCTTAAGAACAAGAAGGCTGTGAAGTGCTTTACACAGAAAACATGTTTATTAGATAAGCTTCAATCAAGCTGGAGGTATACTGCTTTGGCCATGAGTTCATTACTAATGAATTAACGATATATATTAAGTAAGACATCTTTAAACACAAGCACACCTAAAACAAGGTTATATATTGATAGGTTGACAAAAATATTGTGACCCGAGGCTCCCAGGAACGCAGCCCTGTATCTCCCCTAGGAGCAGTGGTTCAGTCTTTGCTAATCTAGAGTCTGTGGCAACTTTATAGAGCACAACTACTATGAATAATGGGAACTGACGATATTTGCAAATTTAGGACTTCCTAATGATGTCTTGAGGTATTTCTTGGGACCGCCAGGAGACTGAAGAACTGCTGATCTCATGCCATTTTCTGCTTTGTAGAAGATGGGAACTTACCAAACCATCCCCATTGTTCCTTCAGTGGTGAGCAGCTTTCTCAGCATTCATTCAACTAGCATGAATGGAGTGCTCCGGAATCTACTGCTGTTGGAAGATACGCAAAAAGAGCAGTTAGCAGTCTCTGACCTCAAGGGATTTCACTTCTCTTGGAAAGATCAGGCTTAAGGTTGCAGATGTAGCCAGGTCAAAAGCAAAGTGGAAACATCTTAGAAATGGCAAGGAGAGGAACAAGCTCCCTGAAGCATAACCTAAGGGAAACAGGCTATTTTTCTAATAGTAACCTTGAACTGTTAATTTAGTGTTTCCTCCCAGGAACTCCACTAAGGAAGTTCAGCTTTAGCCAAAGCTCCTAATTAACTCCAAAGTTTCTACCACATCAGCAAACACCTAAAGACCACCCCAGTGTACATTTCTCACCTGACAGAAGTGAAAAAAAACTGATATAAGTGAGATTTGCACTATAGGAAATCCTTTTTTCGCTATAAGAAATGATTGCTATGGTTCCCTCGGTTTGATTATTATGGGGGCCTGTAATCTTTTTTTTTTTTTTTTGCAAATGGTTAATATTTTACCCTTCAGACGAAACAGCCTTGTGATGTCTTGATTCTTTTTTTTTTAATTAAGGTATCATTGATATACAATCTTATGAAGGTTTCACAGGAACGACATTGTGGTATTACATTCACCCATATTACCAAGTCCCCCCCACACACCCCGTTGCAGTCACTGTCCATCAGCATACTAAGATGCTATAGAGTCACTACTCGTCTTCTCTGTGCTATACTGCCTTCCCCGTGACCCCCTTACATTATGTGTGTTAATCATAATTGGGGCCTGTAATCTTATAGCTAAAAATCTGTATTTATGATATTCATAATCAAATAGTATCATTAATTAATTAAGCACCCAATGTACTCCAGGACTTGTGCTGGGTGCTGGAAACACAGGGATAAAAAGCATGGTCTCTGCCTGTAAACACCCCACAGTCAGACAGGAGAGCCTGGCCATTGTGAAAGTGGGGTAAATGCTGAGATAGAAGGAATCAGGGGTAGGGGGCTTGCGGCAGTACTTACCCAAAGCAGGAGTCTTGGGAGCATAGTCTTGAAGGTAAAGGAGTTGGCCAAGTGAAGAAAGTAGAACTGAACATTCCAGGAGGCAGAAACTTTGTATGAAAGCCTAGAGGCATCACAGAACTATGGGGTATTCTATGACCTAGCGCTCAGAGTGGGAAATGGGAGAATTTCAAGAGAGGAAGCTGGGGAGATGCAAGACCCAGATCATCAGAAGCCTTGAAGGACAAGTTAGGAAGATGAACTCCACTAGAGACTTTTACAGAGGCAAGCAAAATAATCATATTTGCATTTTCTATAGATCCATTGGAAGTAGTACAGAGAATGTATTATGAGCAGAGCCCGTCTGAGAAGGAAGAGAGCAGCTGGGCTATTAGAAGAGCCCCTGGGGAAATACACCAAAAGAGAAGCAGTAAGGAGATAGTGAAAGAGGGTGGGTACCAGGGAATCAGGAAAGCAAACTGAAAGAACTTGAAGAGCAGTTGGCAGTAAAGGCAGGAGGGAGAAGAGATGTAGAAGGAGGAGCTGGTTTGGGGGTGATGATGAGTTCAGCTTGGGGTGTATTGAGTTGGGGGTGCTGTGGATCATCCCAAGGAGATGTTGTCAGGCAGCCAGAAACCTGGGGCTGAGTTCAGGTGAGTTGCTTGGTCTGGAGATGATAATCTGATGACCAGCTTACAGAGGACTATCCAAGTCAAGGGTTTACATTTATACAAGAAAAGTATGTGCAGTTGAGAATAGAAGAGGACCACAGAGACCCTCTTCAGGAACACTAATGTTTAAATGTGAAAAAAAAAAAGGTAAGTCTGAGATGAAGCAGCCACAAATGAAAGAGGGAGTCTGGCATAGACCAGCATGAGACAAGACAAACAAGAGTGTCATGGAGGGGAGGATGGTCAGTGGGGCCCAACTGCAGGGAGAGGAAAGCACAGATTACTTGGTTATTAACGCCCTAGAGCAGTTTTATGGTGAAGTAGAAATGAAAGCAAAGTGCTTTGTGAAGAGATGCAAAAAGGGGTGAAGACCTAAAGACAGGGGAGATGTTTACCCAGCCTGTGGGTAAACTTGGCTTACAAGGGAATGAGGGAGATAGAAGCAAATAGTGGGTAATGGAAAGTTAAGGAGAGTTTTTGCCACTGCCATTTGGAACTCAGCAATGCTCCTTAATTGCTGACAGGATAGAGGGAACATTTTCAAATTGCACATGACTATAGATTCCACAGACTATACGATGAAAATCTCATAGTGAGGGAGTTGGGTATGGAGATGAGAGAGGATCAAGAATAGAGGAAGCCTTGGGTCAGGGGTTCTGAACAGGATATTCTTTTCTGAGAACCTATGAAGAATAATAAAATGGCATCAGATTAAGACTCAGAAGACCCAAGACTGCCTCTACCAGTTTTCAGCCTTAGGCAATTTCATCACCTCTCTGAGCTCAAGTATCATCATCTATAAAATAAGTAGATACTATCTATCAGGTCTGGTTGTAGTGAGAATTAAACAGGATAATATGTGTGAAGGGCACCTTGGAAATTGGAAAGCCCTGTCCAGTTGTGTGAGAAGAAGAACCTTTTTGCTTCCCTTTGCCATTTGCTGAGGTGCCTTTTCCTGCTGAAGTTATTTCAGGTGCCATGGAAAAATTTCCTTCCAAACCACCATAGGCAGGATCTCTCTCTTTGGGGGATTTCTCTCTCTCTCTCTCTCTCTCTCTCTCTCTCTCTCTTTTGTCCTACACACTTGGTATGTAGAGTTCTGTGAATGAATAAGAAGAAAAAACATTTTTTTTATTGTTTTAAATGTTAACTTGGCACTAATTACTAACCATTTTAAAAAATGATCCAAGATGCACATGCAAATATACAAACACATTTCTTTCTAGGTACTTAAATCTTCCCAGTTATGATCTCTGGGGAAAAAATAATCTTTGTAGAGATCACTACCATAGGTAAAGATGACATAACACCATGCCTGCTAAGATGCCAGTGACCACAAGGCAAGGCAAGCAGGCCATGCCGACATCCATTTCCTTCCCCTCTTTATCATTTTAAATTAGCACTTCCTTCTTGGCCCAACAAAACACACACTCCAATGATGTTTGCCATGCAGCTGCTAAAGTCTATATTTTTTTAATTAAAACAAAATAAAATATTTCACAGAAAGACTAGACTTAAAAAAATACAAAATGGAAAACAATTCTATTCACAATTGCATCAAAAAGAATAAAATACCCAGAAATAAACCTAACCAAGGAAGTGAAAGACCTATTCCCTGAAAACTACAAGACTCTCTTTAAGCTAAATTAGAGGACACTAATAAATGTAAATTCATCCTGTGCTTTTGGATAGGAAGAATTAATATTGTCAAAATGGCCATCCTGCCTGAAGCAACCTACTGATTCAATGCAGTCCCTATCAAAATACCAACAGCATTCTTCAATGAACTGCAACAAATAGTTCTAAAATTCATATGGAATCACAAAATACCCCGAATAGCCAAAGCAACCCTGAGAAGGATGAATAAAGCAGGGGGGATCTTGCTTCCCAACTTCAAGTTCTGCTACAAAGCCACAGTAGTCAAGACAATTTAGTACTGGCACAAGAACAGACCTACAAATCAATGGAACAGAATAGAAAACCCAGATATAAACCCACACATATATGGCCAATTAATATATGATAAAGAAGCCATGGACATACAATGGGGAAATGACAGCCTCTTCAAAAGCTGGTGTTAGCAAAATTGGACAGCTACATGTAAGAGAATGAAACTGGATTACTGTCTAACTCCACATGCAAAAGTAAACTCAGAAAAGATCAAAGACCTGAATGTAAGTCATGAAACCATAGAACTCTTAGAAGAAAACTTAGACAAAACTCTTTTGAATATAAACATGAGCAACTTCTTCATGAACATATCTCCACGGGCAAAGGAAACAAAAGCAAAAATGAACAACTGGGGCTACATTAAACTGAAAAGCTTCTGTACAGCAAAGGATACCATCAGTAGAACAAAAAGACATCCTGCAGTATAGGAGGATATATTCATAAATGACATATCCGATAAGGGGTTGACATTCAAAATATATAAAGAGCTCACTTGCCT